CACCACTTTGTTGCGTGTCTTAGCAATTGCAAGTAACAGGTTAGCAACAAACAGGTTGCAGCGTCCGCGTAGGGAGTGAGCGCGCACCTCCGCCGCGACACGAGAACCAAGCCTGACTGATGCTGTGAAGGTAAGCAGCGCCCCGACCTCTTACCCCGAGGTTGCCACGTGATATATTTTTCATGTTGCATACTATCCCGTTGCATCTTAACATTATTGTCTCTAGGCTTTCTTTGAAGGCCCTTTTCTCTTTACTGTTGTTCGTTCGGTCTTTGTCGTGTGTACGTGATGCGGTGTGTGCGTATGTATGAGTGTGTGCGTGTGTGTGTGTGTGTTTACGGCTTTGCTGCCGTGGATGTCATATGACTGTGTTTTATAGCGGGTAGTTGTGATTGCTATTTTTGGAAACTGATATAGATTGGTTTACTTAAGGTCGGCTGTGCATTCGGGAGACAGACCGCATGCAGACTCTGCCTTCCCTCCTGCAGACGTCTCGAAGGCGGAGACAGCGGGAAGCACGTCTGAGAAGCAGACCGCATTTATGCAAACGAACTCTGTCCCGCCCCATTAACGAATTTCCCTCGAGAGTCGCCGCAATATCGAAATCAACTTCCTTGTGTCAGCCGCTCAAGGTGAGGCGGGATTCTTCATTTTGACAGCCATTCATTTCCAGCAGGTCCGCGCCATCAGCTGGAGGAGGAGAGCACCGTCTGTAAGTCTTATTCGGCGGGAAAATAATGATAGTGGCAACTGGCAGGCGCCTGACCGGTTGTACTCGCGCTGTTTGGATCCCGAGGAGGTGACGGGAACGAGCGACGTGTTCACCAAGGTCGATAATGCAGTGCTGGGGAGTCACTCTCGTCGACTCTAGCTGCACTTGCTGATTGCCATCGTTTAACTCCTGGCCAGCTCTTGTCCTGTGCATTGCTCCGTGCCTCGCTCCTCCGAGAGATTCCTCTGTGTTTCAGAATGAAGGAGAAACAAACGCACGGATAAAGATCATGAATAGAAGAGAGAGAGAGAAAGAGAGGGAGATAAAGAAAGGAATCCTTTTTTTTTGGAGGGGAAGTGGGGGAGGGAAACGGCGACTTAAAGGGATGTGATTCTTGACTTAATCTCTCTTATTCAGCAAAGTCAAACGAAATATTTAAGGCACTGTATTGCTGTGAAGTCGCGCGGGAGATCGTCAGATGAGGCCAGCGTCGAGGTGCCAGGTCATCGGGCCCAAAGTGTCAGAAAGGAAGTATATCTATTTAATATCTTATTGATACCAAAAGGCCTTCTTTGAAAAGTGTTGAGTCCACCCAAGGCTTTAAACGACAGAAATATATAAGCGGTTGTTAGCGAGAATTTAATTCGTTATTATCCCCCTCAAGGAGTTGTTTTCGGTAGCGTTGGTTAGTTCGCATGTTAGTTTGTTGGTTGGTTAGCAGGATAACTTAAAAAAAATATATATGGACAAATTTTGATTAAATTTTCCCCAGAGGTGTGTCCTAGGCCAGCTTTGATGCCATTGGATTCGTTTTGGTGCTTGAATGATGATTATTATCCGATTGCCTTGGCGGAGGTATGCGCTCTCTGGGTGCTTCTAGTTATTGTTGTATCTAGATCTATTCTCTTATGGACTGAAGGCCGAATTTCACCTTCATGTGGAATAGATAGACAAAATTATGATTTCGATGCTGTAACATGATGCTTTTATTGTTAAACTTGTTCGAATTAATAGAAAAAGTACGATAATTTCCATAGATAGTAATAGTAGTGTTGTTTCTATTATAGATAATTATAGAAAATTATGATAGGTGATTATGATAACGGGGATAATAACACTATTAGTATCTTAATGGTACTACTACTACTACAACTAGTGCTCACTACAGCCACCGCCACAAGTAATAATGATGATAATAATAGTGATAATAATGATGATGATAATGGCAATAGTAATGATAATATCAATAACAAAAAACGACAATGATAATATTAGTGGTGACCATGAAGGTGAAAGAGATAGGAATAGTAATAATGATGAAAAAATAGAAATTACAAAGTTCATGATAATGATAATCATGATAACAATAGAAAAAACAGTCATAATAACAATATCATCTGTAAAAATATGATTATTATTATAATGATAATAATAATGATAGTAATAATGATACTACTAATTATGATAATGTAATTGATTTAATAATAACAGTGATAATGATGATGATAATGATAATAATGACAATTGTAATAAAAATAGAAATGATGATAATAAATAAATTGATAATGATAATGATAGTAATGATAACAGTGATAATGATAATGATAAAATTGATGATAATAATAATGATAATAATAGTTATTATCATTATTATTATTATTATCATCATTATCATTATTATTATCATTATTATTATCATCATTGTCATTATCATTACCATTATGATAAAAACAACTTTAGCAATAATGATGATGGAATTAATAGTAATGAAAACAATAATAATAATAA